TGATGTGTACCAGGGTGTGTGTGTGGCTGTGCAACTTTTCCAGGATGGCGGGCGAGAGAGTGTTCTTAGCCAGTCTGCTGCATCCTGGACGTCAATCCATTGATCATTCCAAGCGATGGCTCCTATACACCCCAGCGAAAGTGGCCAGGTTGTCTCTTGTCCCTCTGCATTTAACCGAGAAAATCTTTCGCCTTTTACTAAAGATTTCCGTGCAGAGGGGCATTTTGAGCTTACATGCAATTTTTGGAAGCCCACCCAAGTGGGCTAATAAGTGCTCCCTAATTTAGGGATTGGGTTATACTTGTTTTTTAGGGAAATCCAATAAATCTTTTTTTTATCAAATACTACAGGTTTTTTTATCATGATTGTTATAAAGAACTTTTTCATAATTTATTATTATAACTACCATGGATACCATTATAACTGTTACAGTTATTACAATTACCACGGATATCATTGTAATTATTACAGTTACCATGGATACTATTATAATTATAATTGTTATAGTTATTACAATTACCGTGGGTATAGTTATTGTCATCATAATAATCATTATTATAATTATCATGGATACCATCATAATTATTATAAACAGCTGCATAAATATTATAAAATAGTTATCACAAATTATTGCTTATTACAAATAAGTATTATAAACTTATTATAAATTTATTATAAGTTATTATAAATCTACAATTTTTCAAATCTTTTCCCATTAATCGAACTTTCCAACTTTTTTAAATTAAACTTTTTTATAAAATAAATAAATAAATAAAAATTGGCCACGCACGGACTGCCCGTGCGAAGATGCGTTTTTTGCATGGCTCCCCGCAGATTTTTGTCGCTAAAAGCACTGGTTTTTCTGGCAGATGCTTCTAGCTAAAAGAATTTCAGACTGGCCGCCAGGATTGTCAGGAAACATCCCTCAAAATACCAACCTTCTAGCTTCTCACTTCCCTGAGTTAGCAACTTACCCGGAAGAAACTTTCAAGAGCCCGTACGTAGGTATCACGCTTACCCGCGGGCAGAGTTTGAACTCGTTAATACCTACTTGGACGGGAAACATTGCCGTAGGATTTCAGCGTTCCAGCTTCTCAGATCCCCGAGTTATGAACTTACCCGAAAAAAATTTTGGCGGGCCCGTACTCGGGAACCGCGCTTACCCGGGGGCTGGGTTTGAGCTCATTAGTACCTACTTGGACGGGGAACATTCTCTTAAAATTTCAGCCTTCTAACATTTCAGAACCCCGGGTTATGAATTTACGCGGGAAAAATTTTGGCGGGTCCGTACGCGGGTACCACGCTTACTCGAGGGTTGAGTTTGAGCTCATTAGTACAAACTTGGATGGGGAACATTCTCTTCATATTTCAGCTTTCTAGCATCTCAGATCCCCGAGTTATGAATTTACGTGGGAAAAATTTTGGCGGGCCTGTACGCGGGTGCCACGCTTACCCGGGGGTTGGGTTTGGGCTCATTAGTACCTACTTGGACGGGGAAATTTCTCATAAAATTTCAGCTCTCTAGCTTTTCTGGTTCGCGAGTTAGCAGTGTAGCCGTAAAAACTTTGGCGGGCTCTTACGTAGGTACCACGCGGGAAAGATCGCCCCTTTTGCGGATAGAGGCCCGTAAGTGCATGTAGATTAAGTCCCCAAAGTTTCAGCCCTGTAGCTTTTTGGGTCTCGAGATGAACCCAGGCTGGAACGCACCAGGCGGGCCAGTGCGATTATGCGTTTTTGCACTTCTCGTGCCGT